CTCAGAGCCAGATCTGGCTGGCTCCAGGGCTTGTGCTCCCACATGCTTTGATTTATCCCATAACCAGAGTCAAAAACCGGCTTTCCTCCCCAAGACACTGCAGTGGGGCACATCACAGGACTACACTCTGCTACTGACCACTGCCACTCAATATAGGTCCTCATCTCTTCACAAATACCAGTGCAGAAGGACATGCCTTCCCTTCAACCAGCCCCCAGGGAGCGTGTCCACGTCTTCAAAGGGCCCAATGCTCACTTCTCTACAAAGACATCCAACTCAGCGCATGTGCCAGCACGTCAGATAGGGGAGAAAAGGCCACTGGTACAAACAGAATTTTAGATTTTCCAATGAAAAGTCACTTGACTCCTGAGGGCTATTTTTTTTTTTTTCTTAAAAAAATTTTTTTTCCTGTTGCCTGTTCTGGATATGTGGAGAAATGTGTAAGTAAGTGACATCCTGAAAGGATGAAGCAAACATGACCACATCTGAAGGCTGGTAATTTAAGACAGGTACTGCTTTCCTGTAGACAGCATTTCTTTTAGTTTTCTTCCAAAAAAAAAAAAAAAAATGTTTTAAACTCTTAGTCTAAATTACTTTCTCTAAAAAAGCTTTCAAGATAGGGCTAGTCACTATCCCCATGACTTGATAATTTCTACCATGTAAAAGACATTCCCGAATGATGTGGAATCAGTATAAAATTAACACACTAATGATAATTCATGCAAAATTATATGTTAGTAGCATTGTAATGAACCAATAAATATTTATTGCTTGAAAATATGAGATTAGGGAATTGTTTCTTTTATGGGAAACCACTCAAAAGATAGTCTTTCAACTTTCAACTTGAGCTGTTACAATTATTAGATTAACAATTTTTTTGTTAACTTTAAATTTCAAGGCTAAATTTTCCACAAAGTTAAAATGCTACAAAAATGTATTTATCATGAAATTAGAATGATGAAGGAATATGTCAATAAATGTAGAATCAATATAGTCAGGCCTGAATAAAAATGTAATAGCTGTTGTCACATAAAATAGTACCACAAAATATTCCTAAAATGTCAAAATCGTCACTTGGAAAAATTTCAAGTTGTGTGAGGTGAAGACTCAATTCACTTTTCTAATAAAAATATTATACAAGAAAGAATTACACATATTTTCTAGAGAAAGGCTCATTAGAAATAAAACGAACTTCTGGGACACGAGTTACATCTCTGTAATTCTGCAGCAAAAGACTCTTCCCTCCAAACAGGATGCACTGAGTGTTTAACACATTAATTATCATCCTTCATCAAGCATAAAACTAACAGTCAGGAAATACAGCTGCAATAGCACAATTATCAACACACTCAGACTACGCCCCACAGCAAAGAAAGCAAACGGGTTGCTTTTCATTAACAGAGCTTGGCACACCTCCCCAAAGACAATGTTTTCTTTCCAGCCAGCATCCCAAAAGGCATTTAAGGGGCTATTTGCTTAGGTAAATCCAAAGAACAAGTAAACCATGAAAATATTTAATTAAATTTCAAAATATTCATTACTGATATACAGTCCCACTCATATATATACATATGTGTGTACACATATGTATACCTATATGTATTGAAAGATGATTTGATCAAGCCAAAATCTTTTATATAAAAGGCTTGTATTTTTAAAACATTATTAGTGCAAGAGGGTTGGTAAGTAAGGTTATAGTCCATGCTTGACTGTGATACATAAGGTATTCATGGTTTTCGTTCTCATAGTTTGTGGCATACAGTATGATATGCAACGTGCCTCCATCTGTGCAGTAATGGGCTGGGTGATAACAGTGTTCTATGACACGGGTTTGAGTCCATATAAAGAAAGTAATTAGCTACTAGCTTCAGATTCTAATATAACATGTCATCACTGAAAGCCTAGATGAACAGCATTCTAAAGAGATAATAAAAGCATAGTTTATTTGGTTTACTTCTGGACACTTAACATCCTTAACATTATTATAATCTTATTACACCTTAACAGATACATTATTACTCCTACCGAATTTATATTACAATTGAACTATAAACTGTTCCTTAAACCATAATTTAAGGAAGGCTTGGGGGGTGTAAAAGGCAATGGGTAGGGGCTTCCCTGGTGGCGCAGTGGTTGAAGAGTCTGCTTGCCGATGCAGGGGACACGGGTTCATGCCCCGGTCTGGGAAGATCCCACATGCCGCGGAGCGGCTGGGCCCGTGAGCCATGGCCGCTGGGCCTGCGCATCCGGAGCCGGTGCTCCGCAACGGGAGAGGCCACAACAGTGAGAGGCCCGCGTACCGAAAAAAAAAAAAAAAAAAAAAAAAGGCAGTGGGTAATCATCTGCCCCAAATATTTGGAATTATATCTGAAGCACTGCCATCAAACTTTCACTAAATTCCCTGCCCAGAAAGCCTCTAGCATAATCAGCTTGGTCCTCTCTGCAGGAAAAACATCACAGCAAAATTTAAGGAGTCATATTTTCCTCAGCACAGAAGGCCAGGGATACACATAGGATTCTTCTATGCTTGTGGCACAACTTCAATTTCATGATTTTATACTGTACTTTATATGCAATTAACTCAAATCTGAACCTCTTTAAAACTGTATCTGAGACAGGCATTATCTCATCTTCCATCTGGCCAACTTGTGTTATGTACAGTTGTCTTTCAAATGACTGATAACCTTTGTATTCATTATAATATAAACTCTGACACACATTTATGCCCTAAAACCTAACACTTGCTGCCTTACCAAAGGTTAATCCATGGGATTCTGCTCAGGCCTGTGTAAGAAATGTGAGTAGTGTGAGTTATAATAATTTTAATCAATCTGCCTTGGTCGGGATAGCTGCTTCCTAAGGCGCCGAAAGCAGCAGTAAATCACAGAGAAGGCACGCAGTCCTTACCAACAGCTGTAACATAGCCAGTGTGATAAGGAAGGCTGCGGGTTCGCTGTGTGCGGAACATCTGGCTGGACCAAGGACGATGCACAAGAAATAAAAGGTCCGTCCCCTCAAGTGCTTATAGTTCAACTGTTTACACTATGCAGCATGTCAGCAAGCACCAGAGAAAGAGTAAGTGACCAGCTGACAAGGGGATCAGGAAAAACAAACTCGATGGCCAGGGGATCTGTCTGGGGTCAGGTCAGGTACATAACAAGGTGAGGGGACTGTCTTGCGTTCCTCTTGGGACCTCCAATTAAAGGGTCATGGTCTTAAAGTGTTTCTGTCTTAGTACTTTTGTAGATGCAGTGACATTATAAGCATCTCAAAATCAAAGAGGTGTTTTAAGGCAAAAGAAAAAGGAAAAATCTTCTTAATGTTTTGTCAAGCAAAGTGACGAGACCTACTTACAAACTGCCTGAAAAATTAAAAGGAAGGTAATTTCAAGGTGAAGGTTAACTAGTTCTTTCCTGGTCTCTTCCTTTCAGAGATACGACCTGGCAACAAAGCACCCTGTGTTCTGTCACCATTCTGAAAATCCTTTTAGAACCCAAATCCCTTCCATATCTCGATATGTATTCACCCTCAGCAACCATTACAGAGCAAAGTGATTCCACCTTCAGTTGTAATACTGAGAACCTGACATTTTGCATGTATTACTTTTGGGTTGAGAAATCATTGAGTTTAATGTTGCTTCTTCAATTAGAAAATATGACTGCAGTGTTAGGAAAAAATCATATTCTATATTGGATGGTACTCACAGAATAAAATGATATTTCTTAGAAGTAAGGGAAGAAAGGAAAATGCCTTCTTAAGTGAGTATATTTTAAGTTAATAAGTAAAAAGTAATAAAGTGTACTAGACTTACACAACTTTCTCTTTAGCAACGTCAAACAAGTATTTTAAAGGAGCAGGGCCAATCATTAGGCTCAAGTTCACCACAATTCATCTCCCAGTAACAAGTACCAAGGTTAAACCTGTGTTTTTGGATGGCTGTGGCTTATTGTTGTATTGAATACTGATGTGGTAAAAAAGACCCTACTAGGGGGCATAGTTCTCTCTTTGACATTTAGAGTCTGTTATAATAATGATGCTTGCTTCAACAGACATTGCTGGTGATAGAAACAAATCTTTACTTTTTATGAGATTTTCTAACGGCCTCTCTAGCTCTCATACCTTTTTTTCTTAATGTAATATTTATTTATTTTAATTTTTTTTACATCTTTATTGGAGTATAATTGCTTTACGATGGTGTGTTAGTTTCTGCTTTATAACAAAGTGAATCAGTTATACATATACATATGTTGCCATATCTCTTCCCTCTTGCGTCTCCCTCCCTCCCACCCTCCCTATCCCACCCCTCCAGGCGGTCACAAAGCACCGAGCTGATCTCCCTGTGCTATGCGGCTGCTTCCCACTAGCTATCTATTTTACGTTTGGTAGTGTATATATGTCCATGCCTCTCTCTCACTTTGTCACAGCTTACCCTTCCCCCTCCCCATATCCTCAAGTCCATTCTCTAGTAGGTCTGTGTCTTTATTCCTGTCTTACCCCTAGGTTCTTCATGACATTTTTTTTTTCTTAAATTCCATATATATGTGTTAGCATATGGTATTTGTCTTTCTCTTTCTGACTTACTTCACTCTGTATGACAGACTCTAGGTCTATCCACCTCACTACAAATAACTCAATTTCGTTTCTTTTTATGGCTGAGTAATATTCCATTGTATATATGTGCCACATCTTCTTTATCCATTCATCCGATGAGGGACACTTAGGTTGTTTCCATCTCCAGGCTATTGTAAATAGAGCTGCAATGAACATTTTGGCACATGACTCTTTTTGCATTATGGTTTTCTCAGGGTATATGCCCAGTAGTGGGATTGCTGGGTCATATGGTAGTTCTATTTGTAGTTTTTTAAGGAACCTCCATACTGTTCTCCACAGTGGCTGTATCAATTCACATTCCCACCAACAGTGCAAGAGGGTTCCCTTTTCTCCACACGCGCTCCAGCATTTATTGTTTCTAGATTTTTGATGATGTCTAGCTCTCATACCTTTAACGTAGTGAATTCATATGGCTGATAACCTTTGAAGCTCTCATGGATGGCTGCCATAGTGTGAGAAGTTTTCTCCCAAAAATGGAGCAGAGTGGTCTGTAAAGAAAGACAGTAAAGCTATTAGCATTTTAAATGCCCAGATCTAATCAGGGGTCCTAGAGAAAGAAGTGTGCCCATCTGTGGCTTTCAAAGTTGTTTTTCTTAAAAAATATTTATTTATTTATTTATTTGGTCGTGCTGGGTCTTAGTTGCAGCATGCGAACTCTTAGTTGCAGCATGTGGGATCCTGTTCCCTGACCAGGGATCGAACCTGGGCCCCCTGAATTGGGAGCACGGAGTCTTAACCACTGGACTACCAGGGAAGTCCCCCTCAAGGTTTTTTGAAACACGATTTTTACTTATCTCTGCAGCCTTGTTTCCTACTATGCCCCTACTTACACCCGGTATTTCAGCCAAACTTAATGGCTCCCTGTCCCCCTACAGCTCATGCTGCTCCACCACCTGGGACATTCTCCTCTCCATTCTCTTTGTACTTGTCCCATCTGATCCATCCTCCAAAACCCAGGGCTAGTCATTAACAATGGACTTCTGTGATTCCCTCAATGGATTCCATTTCTCCCTCTTCAAGCCTCCATTGGATTTTGTAGATCTCATTTCACTTAGCACACCCTGCTCTGCCCTTGAGGTAGAGAAAATATAGTCAGACGTTACTGTCTCTGACTTCCTTTCTAAATTTTAAGTTCCTTGAGGACAGGAAATCTGGTTTTATCCACTGTATATTCTCTACAACACCCAGAGTTTGCCTCCCACCCTCAGCTGGTGCTCAATAGTACCGCTGATGGATATGAGTGCCATTCTGAAGGAACTGACAGGCAACGAGGAGACAAAAGCAAGTTCATTAAATTATGGCAACCTGGTGAGGAAGTGACCATGCCGTGAGAATTACAGCAACAATGCTAAGGGAGTTCAGAGGAGGCTTACTGAAGGAGGGGACACTCTGGTACCTCAGAGTGGAATTTGGAAAGGCACAAGTGGCGAGGGAGAGCACACAGGCAGAGGGAACCACCTAAATAAATGCAGGGAAGTGGGGAATTACAGTGTATATACAGGGAATAGCTAACATTTGGTTTGATTAACTGTAGGATGCTAAAAAAGAGAGATGTGGGAAGTAAATTATGAGAAAGGCAATCTGAACTTCATTATGCCCAAACCATACTTTGGGCTCAAACACCATTTTTCTGTTATCTAAACCTTGTAACATTCTTGGTCCGCTGCATCAAACATCACTTGGTTACCTGGTATGTTGCTAGCATATGAGACAAGAGATTGCATCTGCTCGCTCCCAGAAGATCCACTTTTTGACACACATCCATCTTCAATTTGTCAAAGCTTTTTTTGGCAAGGCGAACTTGTGTTTGCACCTATGAAAGTAAAAGAGAATCTCTGAACCACTCAAACTGTTTGGTTAAAATTTGTCAGTGAGAAAACACCAATAGCGGGATTAACTCTTTCACGTAAGAAAACATCTTTGAAAATTCCAGGCAAGTGAGAAGATGCTACAATATCCATTCTTTATTTCCAAAGGACCTAAACGACAGTACTGTATATCATGATTTTACAGCAGACTTACCATCCTAGTATTTTTCTCAGTCGAATGGTAGAACTTCTCTCCTCTCAAGGCATTCACAAACTGACCATAGTGGGAAGAAGTCTGGAAACACGCAGGGTGGTAAGGGGATAATATTTGCCTTACTGTTTTCCTATGGTTCTTTGAAGCTGAATTCCCCATGTACTCCTCACTCTCCTTCCCCTAATGTTAACATCTTACATAACATGACACATTTGTTAAAAATATGAAATTAACACTGATACAATCCTATTAACTAAACAACAGATGTTATTCAGATTTCACCAGCTTTTCCACTAATGTCCTTTCTTTCTGTTCCGAGATCCAATCTAGGAAATTGTGACACAGCCTAAAACACTATCCCCACTGATAAACTTTCAACTTTTTATTATTGCATATGTACATCAGCAATCCTCCATCCATCCCTAAGCCATGCAGTAATTCAGGGATGGAGGGAAGGTCAGGAAGATTCAGAAATGTTATTCTACATATTACTTGATAATAATACAGAAAGTTTTAAAATTTAATACAGCTACATTAAAAATAGTGGAATCAAAATTTCCCCTTCCTCTAACCTGAAGCATCACTATATCCTATTTTAACCAGGGAAAGGTAGTCACATATTAATTTATCTCAGATAATTCATGCAGTTGTAGTTACCAGGTAGGTAACTGGGAGTTGGGAATGATGCTGACTCATTAATGGTAGCTCTTGCATCACAGGATACCTCAGGTGGGTATCTCCAGGGACTCGAGGACAATGTCTACCTTGATCACCATTATATGATAGGCACCTGGCGACCTGGTACAAAGCAGGTGCTGAATATATATTTGGTGACCGAATCAGGAAAATTTCCAGACCATTTCTAAAGGTAAAGTACCTGAGTACCATTTTAAAGTAGAACTTTTAAAGTAGTCTTAAAAGTGATAGTTTTATTTTTTAATAAAAATAAACATGAAGATGATTCGATTTAAAATATATTAATTTTACCACTAATAATTTATATTCACAGCTTTTAAAATTATAGGGTATTATGCAGTAACAGTAGCAATTGACACAATTGTTATCATTTGTAACAATTTAATAATCAAAACAACTCAACAATAGATATAATTCAAAATTAATATTATACAATCGATACAAGTGAACAATTAATACAATTCGCTCATCACATGCCAGCTTTATTCTCTGTTAGCCTCTGTTATCGCGCTCTGATGGCTGAGGGTAAGAGGCTTCATCAGGGGAAGTAACTGACAGGCAGGGCTGGCATTCTAGATTAGCCTGCCTGACTCCAAAGCCACGCTCTTCTGCTGCCCCAAACGACTTCCACTAACCATTGCAAAATCAAGAAGCTCAAAATTATGATTCTACCCAGAAGCACAAGGTTTCCTGTAGGCTTCTATGGAATTGGAAAATAATCAGGCAGTACATTTAATACCATATCGACAGAATTAATACCCTATATGAATAGGGTCTTGTTTCTGTAGCTGTGTAAAGCATTACCTAAGAATTCCTCTGTATTCCTAGGTCTACAGAGCTTGGAAAACCAGCAAATGAAGCCATCCAGCTCCTCTCAAAGCACACCGTAAGCTTAAATAAATCCCCGAACTCGATCATTCCTCACTGTGGAGTGGAGAGACTCTAGGGAAAGCTACTGGGGTGTGCGGACTATAAAAAGAGTTAGGATGTGTTAAGTATCGGTGATTTTCTGCCCTCCTTTGAGAGGAATAGGGATGATACAGGGAGAAGTGGAAGGGAGAAGTGGAAGGGAGAAGTGGAAGAGTGCAGGGCAAGAAGTTTAAGCAGCTGAGAGTTTCACTGCAGGTCCCCACTGGTTCACCAGTTGCTCGAGCCAGGAAGAACTCCTCAACTGGGATCCTGAGAGGCATCTGTCTTTACCCTTTCCTTCTGAAGGGGGAGGAGATAAATACACGTGTGAGCTTTCATGTATGCATTCATTCAACACATGCTTAGTGAGCATTAGTGCCTATTATGTGTCAGGACCAGTGCTTGGCGCTGGGAGGTCTGTAAAGCAATGAGACACATAGCAGGCGGTCAATAAATACTTAAGAATGAATGCACAGAGGCACAAGGACCCCCTAGTCTTTTAGAGACGACTGATAAGTTAGCAACTATATTATAATACAATGGGAAAAGCAAAACAACAGAACTAAGAGTGAAGACAGAGGTAGCACAGACAAGGGAATGATTAATGCTGGGGGTGGCATGGGCAGGGGTGTTTGATCAAGGGCATTAAAACCCCAATTACAGGCTTTCTAGTATCCACACCCTTAGCCCTGTAACTTTGTAGTCTCCTCCCACTCTGACACTGGGCTTGGTATGTGACTTGCTTTGGTCAATGGGCCAAATGTGATGAAACTGGAAGCTTGGGGGAAAAAATGCCAGCATGCTTACACTTTCTCCCTCCCTTATCTGAGACTGCCGTGAGAACATGCCCAGGTCAACCTGAGAATGTGCCTGGGCTGGCCAGTTGGAGAGGTGCTGAGGCTTGCGCATGCAAGAGACACGAGGAGGAGAGCCCAGTGGTCCCAGCAGATCAGCCTTTGGCAAACTGATGCCCAGACATGTGAAGGAGGCCAGCCATGGTCAGCAGAGCCTCTCCCCTCCCCACAGCTCACGGGTGAGCCCAGCAGAGACCAGAACTGATGTGCGAACCCACAGACCTGTGAGCAATAAGAAATGCTTATTGTTTTAAGCCACTGAGTGTTACAGTTGTTTATTTCATAGCATTATTGGGGCCATATACATAACATACAAACGGTAAGTAAGGGGCAATGAAGGCTTCTGAGATGGCGGGATATCTGAGGTGAGTCTTAAGGCATGAATAGGAGTACATAGTAAATACAAGGTAGCCATGAGGCTGGCCTGCTTATGCGGAGGTTCTAGATTTTTCTAATTAGATACAAATTACTTTTCTGTGGGGATGTGAATTTTGCTTTTTCCTTTACATTAACATAATCAGTTACACATAGATATTCTTGTATCCTAGAAGAAAACTTAATTCTTTCATAGATATTCTTTTATCCTAGAAGAAAACTTAATTCCCTTGCTTATAACACAAAACTCATGAATTAACATACATTGAAATGTGCCCTAATTTAATTTTGTTTGAATTTTGTAAAGTAATTTTAGGAACCTAGAAGACGACTTCAGCACTTGACCCAGTGAGTTCTGAAAGGCCATATGCTTTGTGTGTCAACAATGATTATTAAAATACTTAATGCACTGCTGAGTTGCCAAATGTTGAGCCCTTTCTCTGCCAAACAAGGAGGATGTTACACTGTTGGGCATTTTGAATACGGCAAAGTTCATTTAATATTTTGTGCTCCATGTCTGTTCTCTAAAACACATTTCCAGTCTGCAGCCCAAGGACAAAACACCAAGGACACAGGAGCGCACAGGCCACCATCAAGAGTCTAATTTCATATGCTTCCAGATGCACTTAAGTAAAAAATGTTTTGATTATTATTCCTCTCAATCCCAAATAAATTATATTCAATTACAGAAACATCTTGAGGAGCTCCTGTAGTTTTCAAGGTTCTTTAAAAAAATCTTCAAATAAATGTATCTTTTTTTATTTCTTAATTTTACTCCTGTTGCCCCAGCTTTGTTCTCTTATTCTCCAAGCTCTAGGAAATGATCACATATATTTGACCCTCTTCAGCATGGGTCCTGCCTTCCCAAGGCTGCAGAAATTCAATTTACCAGAGAAAGGAGTAATGTCTTGTGTGCCAAAACTACAGGGCACTTCTCTGTACTTACTCGTCATAACCTGAAATTCTACCTCTTAGCCCCAACTTGAATTACATATGATGAAGCCAAAGCTATTCGTACTCAGTACAAGCTGGCTTCTCCGTTCAGTGGGAAAAGTCTTCATATTACTACACAACCAAATAATTTGAGAGTAGCTTTGCATTTTTTTCCTAGTGTTTTCTTTTCTTTAAAAGTAAAATAAAGCCACACCCCCCCATCTTACTCTTACTTTTACATTGTCTTCTAGAAGATGGATTTGCCTCTCTCCCTCTATCCATTCACTTAGTAAATATATACTGAGTATCTTCCACGTGCCGATAACAGTGAACAAAATGGAGGCCTCATGATGACAGTCCAGTGGGCATTTTCATAGCCGTGAGGAAATAACTACAAACTGAGTGAGGTGATCAGAAGGAAAGCCACACAGTTCCATAAGAATGATTTACCAAGAAATCTGAACAAGAGTATGTTCTGGGAGGTGGTGCTCAAGCTCTCTTCTGAAGGACTGAGCATGGTTAATTGTGCAAGGAAGAGAGAGCTCCAGCAGGGGGAGGAGGATGTGCAAAGGCCCTGGGGTAGAGGGCAATAAGACAGGCCCCAGAAAACTAGTGCAGCTGGATTGCTGAGAGCAAACAGAAAGGTGGTGTGAGATGAGGCAAGAGAGGTGGGCTGGGGTATATCTCAGGGCCTTGGAGGTGTGCTCAGGATTTTAGTTTTTATCCTAGAAGCAGTGGAAAAACATTGGAGTCTTTGAAGCAAGGAAGAGATAGAACCCTATTTTCAGTTTGAAAAGATCACTCATTGCAGTGTGTGGATGGATTGGAGGGAGATGAGAATAGATGAGGATAGATCTAGAGTCAAGGGGAGAGATGATGGTAGCTTTAAACTTGGGTAGTGATGCTAGATATGGAAAAGAATGCTCTGACTGGAGAGATATTTAGTAGGTAAAACAGACTGGACCTGGTGAGGGGTTAGATGTTGGGGGTATATAGGATGACTCCTATGTATCTGACCACCCCAAGCCCAGTATCACTGTCTAATTTTCCTTTTCCACCAGGTGATTCTACTCATGTCAGTTCTTGTAGACACCTCAGGCCACATCAGGATTCCTGGCTTGCTTTCTCAAGCAGTTCTCAATACTCCTCCCTAATTAACTTATCTATTCACCCCTATCTATGCATCCTGCATTCAGAAAAAAATGTTAAGATCAGAGAATACACGAATTACTTCTTTTGGCTTTTAGGAAGGTGCCACAAGAGAAAGCCTAGCCTATCTGAAGTCCCTTGGAAAACAGAAGGTCAGATATTTGGTTTCATTAAAAGAAGATTGTTTTTTCTGAGGCCAACATACTAAGACCTCTAGAGAGTCAGATGATCAAACATCTTGCTGAGTCATTTTACTGGACCTGATTTATCCTATACTTATCCACTGACGGCAGGAGCAATTCTGACATTGTATTACGTACAGAAGTATGTATAAGTGACTGGGTGTGCACATGTGTGTGGGCAGCCACGTGTAGACTTTAGGAGCTATCTATTTTTGGTCTTCCCTTAACAAAACCCTCACCCTGCTTTCAAAAATGTTCCTTTTCTTTATTCTAATAATGTGGCTTAAATGGGGGTTGTTGGTATGCTCTTTATAGACCACCCCTCCACTCCTACTGACTGGCCCAGGGATGAGCACCTTAACCCAAGGTGAGTCAGTTACAAGGCACCATGGATGCCTGATTCAGGGAAAGGCACTTGGTTCAAGCTGGACGAATCAGAGCCCTTCCTCAGGATTTTTTAACTTGGAACTAGAGAAAATAAGTCTCAATCCTTTTCTAGGGACTTCCTGCACTAAGGGCAGGAAGTCGTGGCATTTGAATTTCCTGTGGTATGAAGAAAATTGGTCTGAGAGAATAAAGGTGACATATAAAGAAAAGCATAGAAGAGACAGAGTCCTAGTGGCATTCAAATTCCTGGATCCTGCTGCCCTTCCTACGGTCACATGAGATTTCTCCCTTTGCCTCAATTAATTCAAGTTTCTGCTATGCGGAACCAAGCACTAATACAGGCTGCTCACTTTTGCCTTCTTGGAAATTCATATGAAAGGTTCTATGATAAGGATCCTTTTTTAACTTTGATTATTCCAGGGTTTCTAAAATTTATTTAAACAGAGAACCCTTCCCATATTTCATATACCACCTATTACATGCAATACATTTTTTAGGGGGGAAATCCCTGTTTTACAGAAGAAGAAATCACGACTTAGATACTTAAATGATATATAAAAATTAGAATCAAACTCAGGTGTGTTTGGTTCTCTAATTGATGCTCTTTACATTAATCCATGGGACACAGGGTAAGTGATCTACCATTGACCATGTAACTCACAGTGTTCCAAGTCTATGACACGCACAATAGGTGCAGGTACCATTTCAGGAATCGACTATGCAGGACTTATCAATTTAGATGTAGGCATAGGGAGACTCCCAAGCCACATAGCCTGAATAGTACTTCTATCAGAAATCTAAGGCTCTTTAGCTCAGACTCCTCAACAAAGTGGAAAGAAACCAGTGCATCAAATTCCCTTAGGTGCACGGTGGTCAGTGGATTCCCTGATTTCTAGAGGAAAAATATGCAGAGAGGGTATCTGTTTCATTCTGTGCCTAGAAGCTGATGCCAGCACTGTTACCACCACTAGCATCACCACCACCACCATCATCATCATTTCTTTTTTAAGGTTTAATTAAGTTTTTAATAGGGTAAACATTAATCTTTTTTAAAAACATTTTTATTGGAGTATAATTGCTTTACAATGGTGTGTTAGTTTCTGTTTTTATAACAAAGTGAATCAGCTATACATATACATATATCCTCGTATCTCCTCCCTCTTGCGTCTCCCTCCCACCCTCCCTATTCTACCCCTCTAGGCGGTCACAAAGCACCGAGCTGATCTCCCTGTGCTATGTGGCTGCTTCCCACTAGCTATCGATTTCACATTTGGTAGTGTATATATGTCCATGCCACTCTCTCACTTCGCCCCAGCTTACCCTTCATTACTTTTAATCAGCTTTATTTATGAGGTAAGATTTAATTTTAGGTGTACAACTCGATGAGTTCTTGGACAAATGTGTACAATCATGCAACTACCATCAGAATTATGATATGGAACATTTCTATCGCTCCCTAAAGTTTCCACTGCAGTCAATTCCTTCCCTCAAGTCCCAACCCCTGCCAACTACGAATCTGCTTTCTGTCACTACAGATTAGTCTTTAGTTCTAGAGTTTCATATCAATGTAGTCTAGTGTTTTTTTTTATGACTGGATTCTTTCACTCAGCATAACCCCCTGGAGATCAATGTATTTACAGTGTGCGCTGTCTTATTTCTGAGTAGTATTTAATGGTATTGATACAGCACAATTTGTATACTCATTTGGGTTGTTTCCAATTTTAGGCTATTTTGAATAAAACATCTGAGCATACGTTTTTGTGTAGACATGCTTTTCATTCCTCTTGGGCAAATATCTAGGAATAGGATTCCTAGATCATACAGTAACTGTAACCTCACTTTTATAAGAAACTGCCAAACTGTTTTCCAAAGTAACTATATCATGTTGCATTTCCTACCAACAATGATCCAAATTCCATGGGTTCCATAGCCTCTTCAACACTTGGTATTTTCAGTCTTTTAAGTTCTATCCATTCTAGTGGATGTGTAGTCATAGTTATTATAATTTTAATTTGCATTTCTCTAATGACTAAAGATGTTGAAATTCTTTTTAAGTCTTATTTGCCACTTATATATCTTTAGTAATGTGCTTATTCAAATCTTTTGCATATTTTTAAAAATTAGGTTTGTCTTTTTATTACTGAGTTATGAGTTCTCTATATGGATAATATAGATCCATTATCAGACATAAGTTTGAA